TTCTCTATCCAGAGCTCCACAGCGCAGATTTCCAGAAGGGCACTGGATCTCTCCCTCAGACCAGGCTTTATATTGAAGATCATCTCCACTGACCCAGAACCAATGACCAGCCATAAAGCGCAGACCAGTCCACACATAAGCTGTCTGGGATGTTAGAGTCTCATTTATCACCTTTTCCATATATATTTGAGAACTTAGGCTCACCAAGTCAATGTAGTTCTGCCTGCAGTAGTTCAGAGATTCATCCCATGTCTTATTCTGATGCACCAGAATGGGCTTAAACACCTCCATACAGTAGAATGGAAAATAATAAGAGCACATCATATTGTGCAGTTTAGCAGTATATCTGCTTACACCGCCACACTTTTCAGCGACGCCGCTTGGTTCCCAAATGTCCCAATAGTCAATGTTTTGATCCTCACCTCCAGACCAACTCCATAGGTTGTTAGAAATCATGTGCAGTCCAATCCAAAAATATCCATCATTGTTTTCTGGATTAGTGGAAATCTGTTGTGCCTCTTCTTCACTGGCAGTGGACAGGTCATCATGGTGCTTTCTGCAGTATGTCTGCGCATCTTCCCAGGTCATTCTTTTTTTCACAAGGAAGTGTTTTCTGTACAGACTAAAGCTCAGTCCAAAAAGACTCAAAAAAAGAAACACAGTGAATGTAGCCTTCATTTCTGTACGGTTGATCTACACTGTGCCACCTTTGCATGTGCTCAGTGATAAAGGGCTATTTTTGTATATATAAGAGACAATAAAACAAACAGGAAGGCACTGACCAACCAGACGGTCAGGCTCTTCAAGTATTTGTGTAGCAAATGTCTAAACCAAATGTGCTGCAAAGAAAACAAACTAAAATAAGTGAAGCCTAGCCAGTGAAGTGATAATGTGATGAAAGATTTTCTCATTGAAGTATCAAAAATGAAAAAAAGGAGGATCTTGCGCTTGGTTCCATTCACAGTAACACGATTTCAAATCAATAATAGAATCCATCAAAGAGCAAACAAATCTCAATTCTTGAAATTTGTTGTATCCAAATGCAAGCATCCAAAAACAATCAAACGGCAAATGGGATTTTTTTTCCATGCAGACATTGTTTGGCCTGTCATAATCTAAAAAAAAGTGAATAGATTTGTGAGTTACTCTAGGAATCAAGAATTTTAAATTAAACATTTTATTTCTTGTCGTTCGACCAATGTAATATATTTACTTTCTTGTCCTTGTGGTCTTCAATATGTGGGGAAGACCAATCCACAATTAAGATTAAGTATTAATGAACACAGAAGTGCCTGCATGACATTTCACCGAGTTAATTCATTCAGTTAATGAACTGTAATTTTGTGGAATAGATCAACACATTCTCACTCCCAACTCGTCACTTATTATGCACACAAGTAATTGTTAACTATGATATTACTTTATTGCATCAACTTTGCATAGATAATAGCACAAAAGACCATTTCACAAAAATAAATATGTAAGCAAGCAAACAAATAAATAAACCTTATGAGTGAGCATGACCCGTGACTCTACTAAAACACTTCACACTTCAACCCCCCAATGTTCAAACCAAAACTACGCCCTTGGCCATGACATCTCTCTGTTTTTCAGAGTCCAATTCTTTTGTTACTGATTTCACTTCAAAATTCATTTGTTAGACCCTTTAGCTGTGATGATAATCGTGTTTGTGCTTTGGCTTTCTATTGATCCATACATTCTTTAATACGAAAAAAGAATATGAAAGACACTGTTTTATCTCACAGGTTTTCCATCCTTTTATCTCTTTGCTGTTCTGATCTGAGTAAATACTGGACGTAATGTTTGTCTCACAGCAGCATTTCTGTTGTGTCCTTTCTTCATACACTTCATCCCAGGCAGAACATTGTCGCATTATTTGGCACTATTTTTTTAGCTTTCCAGTGAGGACAATGTCAGACTGTAGCTCAATGTGACTTCACTAAGGCTTTGTTCCTAAATAAACTGCCTTGCTGTCTACTACCTACAGTACGTACCACAGTTTCCACAAAAGTATTAAGCAGCATACCTGTTTTCAACATTGTAATTAATTAGCAATGTTTCTGGAGCAGCAAATCAGCATATAAGAATGATTTCTGGAGGATTATGTGACACTGAAGACTGGAGTAATGATGCTGAAAATTCAGCTTTGCATAACAGGAATAAATGACATTTTCAAATGTATTCAAATAGAAAGAATTTATTATGACTTGCATTTGAGTTTGTAATTTATTTTGTTTTCAGAATTGTGATTTGCTTTGCACTTCTCGACCACCGTATATTTCAGATTTTTTTCTCACAAGTTTATATGGCATAATTGTAGGTTATAAACTTGTAATGAGTTTGCATATTTTTCCTACATATTCTGAGCTTACATCTTGCAATTTTTTTACTTTTTTTACTCTGAATTTATATCTCAGAATTGTGACTTTTTTCTTCAGAATTCTGAGATTTCTTATGAACCGATTCTTTTAGTGAATCAGTCAAAAGCACTCACAAACTCACAAGTTATCAGTTTATAAAAACTTTTTGTTAGTAAAACTAAACAAAAACGTAATGTAAATATCTAGGTTTTGGCCTACAAAAAAACTAAAGTATAAAAGCTAAACAGCTCAGGAGTAGGAGCAAGATTAATGAACAACTAAATAAGATGTTACAAGTAAATTAAAGCATGATACTAAAGAACAAATCCAAAATCAGGAGATAGAATAATCAAGAGCAAAAACTACAACAAGGGTACACAATAGCAGGGTAAGCCTGGAATATAGAGCAGCAAGTCAGTAACTGTCTCTATGGCACAAGACGAACCAGCAACCACAAGAGGAAAAACAGCACAATATAAAGGGAGGAAAGTACACGAGGGACAGGTGAGCCCAATTACAGAAACGAAGACAAGACAAGGCCTAAACAAGTGGGCGTGACCAAGGGAAACAAGGAGGTGGGACCACAGGAACACATGGCAAGCATAAACGAAGACAAAACAATGTGTGCAAACACAAGACAAACAAAGAAACATTAAACAACGACAACACAGACAAAGCTGCCAGGGCAGAGCCCTGACAGAGATTACATAAAATAAAAAATTGTGACTTTATCTCACACTTCCAACTTTTTTGCAACTTTATATCTCACAATTTGCGAGTTAAACATCTCCGGATTGTGAGAAATTGTTTTTATACTTTTAATTTGTGGTGGCAATGAGCTTCCATAGTTTTCTTCTTGTTTTGCTTCTCTGACGTGGCACTAGTTTTGATGTAAACCCTTTAAACACAGGGATGCATCATGTGTAATTGGTGCTTTCCCTTACTGCAGTCAGTCACACACAGAGATGTGTCAAAGGGAACTTACCTCCACAAAAGGCCCGTAATTAGAACTGGTACAATGTGCTGCTGGGACACGGACGACGGCCTTCACAGGGTCTGCGTGTCATTATGTGGGTGGTAAGGCATTTTTAAAGAGATGTGATGAGGGCTAATGATGGTGCTTCCTCTTTAAGAGGGTGCCAGAAGCTCTTGTAAGCGCCAGCCTCTCGCAGCCCACTGGAGGGATCCGGGCATTGGGGCATGGCATGTCAAATTAAGCCCAACTTTTAGCCAAGGTCCTGACACAGATGGGAGTTCATTAATTCGATATGCTGCTGCTTGTCAGACCACTTTAAGTGATGGATCACTAAGGTGTTTGTAAAGACCACCAACCGGTTCCCAACTTTTCGCCCTTCACCACATATTAATGTGAAAGCAACAGCTTTTCACATCTCGTTAGAGAGCATCCCGGCAACTTTTTTGTCTCATATTTGACAAGTGCAGTGTTTTGTTAGTCATGTTTAGGCAGCAGGGGAGTCTGTTCCATTAGTTTGCCCGATTCAAACTAGTAGTTACTAACATAACAATATTGTGAAGCACAAGAGACTTGGCTCAGTTGATTTCAATAGAGCATGTTGTTAAGATAATTTTATGATATTCTCATAAGAAAGCAATGCAAAACAAATATATATATATGTATGTATGTATGTATGTGTATATATATATATATATATATATGTATGTATGTATGTGTGTGTGTGTATATATATATATATATATATATATATATACACACATTTTGGTATATAAACTGATAACTTGTGAGTTTGTGAGTGCTTTTGACTGATTCACTAAAAGAATCGGTTCATAAGAATCATCTGTTCTTGATGCAGATTCATTGTTATTTTAGTATCATTTCTATACTAGTATTAATTCATATTTTGAATTAACTTTTATTTTTGTATTTTCAGTTTTATCTTTAGTTGAAGTTTTAGTGGTTTTGTTATGTGCTTTTGTTTTATTAGTTTTTTGTTTCTGTTTGGCATTTATTTAAATTTTAGTTGTAGTAATTTTAGATCTTCAGACTTCAAAGTTTGAAGTTTTGAGATATTTAACTTATATTTTGTCTCATATGGCAACTAAGTATATTTTTTATTAAGGTTTTTGATTTTAAACTAATAACTTGTACGTGAATGCTTTTGACACATTAAAAGAACTTGTTCATAAGAGTCAACTGTTCATGAATCAGATTCAGTGATAGTTCAGTAATATTTTTTATAATACTTGTATTTATTAATATTTTGAATTAGCTTCTTAACTTAATTCTAATTTATTTCATTCAGTTGAAAGGGCTACTTTGTTTAATATTTTATAAAAAGTTTTTATTGAATATTTGTATTTATATTTTTGTTTTGTTTCAACGTCAGTTAAGTTTTGAATAACAATAAAAAATCCTTTATTTAATTAATCAATCAATCTTTACTTAATTTGTCCCTGTACTCTTTGTATTTATTTATTTATTTATTTATTGTCTTTTCCCCCATACAACCAGTAAAGATGCAATAGGACTTTGTGAGTGTTTGTGTTTATTAATTGTATTATTTTGCAGTACCTAGTATTTCATATCATCACATTTAATTTAAAAATAATTTATTTAGCCACACTGCTATAGATTCAGTTATGGTGCAGGACACACTGCAGTGTGGTTTTGATAATAATGATTTAATGAGGAGTTATTAAGCTTTTTAATGACAATCTTGTCCACTTTGGTTTGTAAGTTGTCCCCAGGCTCTGAGGAAGAGGAACACGAAGGACCCGTGTGTGAGAAGCTGGGACGCATCCAGTTCAGCGTGGGATACAGTTTTCAGGACTCCACACTGACAGTGAAAATCCTGAAGGGTCAGGATCTACCTGCGAAAGATTTCTCCGGCACGTCAGATCCATTCGTCAAACTCTACCTTCTGCCAGACAAGAAGCACAAACTTGAGACCAAGGTCAAAAGAAAGAACCTCAACCCTCACTGGAACGAGACCTTCCTATTTGAAGGTCAGTATGTTTTGATATCTCAGCTACATTATTATATGTTTAGAGTTTATTGGACTTTTGCAGTTCAAAGTTGGTTCCTCGCATGTAGCCAGACATCGCACTCGTTAAATCATGTTTATGTGTATATATGATTTAACTCACTTTCCTTTGAAAGGAAAAATTTGAATATTTTTTAAATAAGTCTTTTATAAAGGCATTTATTTGATCAAAAATACAGTAAAAACAGTAATATTGTAAAATGTTTTACTATTTAAAGGGGTCCTATTATGCTCTTTTACAAAGTCTTGATTTTGTTTTGGGGGTGTACTAGAACATGCTCCCATGATTGGTGGTTCGAAAAACGCATTATTTTTCACATAATTTACATTATTACAATACCTTTCTCCCCAGCCTGGCACAAACGGCTCGATTAGTTCCGGCTTTGATGAAGGTCCGCCTTCCGAAAAACAAAATGTGTTGTGATTGGTTAACTGTCCCAGTGCGTTGTGATTGGCAAACAGCTTAGACGGTGTTTCAGTACTGCCCCTCCCCTTGCTCGGTCTTTCAACAAAAACTTTTGGGCGAATCCGGCACTGTACTCCCTCATGTTGTGGAAGCTGTCCTCAGTAAAATGCGCAGCACACAATAGCAAATTGGGGTTATAATGCTCAGGGACAGAGTTAAAAAATAAATTGCAACCACTGTTTCCTGACATCATCCGCTTTCGGAAGCCCAAACAAAGACGTTTGGGCACGGAGGTGAAAAAAACTGCGTTTCAGGCGGTCGCGCACCGGACGAGAAGTGCAGCGTCGCGCCACATCTTTAAAATTCAAATACATTATTTTCTATGAGTGTAGGCACACCGGCGGTGCCTTTTGGCGTCTGTCCACGGCGCCCAGCTACGTCGTGTTATACTTGTAAGAATGCCGAAATTTTTAAGCTACAGCACAGCAGCTCTTCTTCTTCGTTTTCTCTGATGCACTAACTCTGCAGCAGCTCTTCTTCGTCGTCTCGTCTCATGCGCTCACTCAACCAAGCGTTCTAACCACAACCTCGCCCCTCCCCACCCCCCAGCCATTCTAATTTCTGTAGGCAGGAATTCTTTTTAATGATATTTTAATGGGCCGCTTTGTGATATCACAAAGCCCGGAAAACAAACGCTGTAGTCCAAACGAGCCGTTTGTTGTAGTTCTTGAAAAGGGATTTTTAAAAAACGAAATATCTCCCTTTGGAGTGGACTTTGAGATTTGTAACTTTCTAGATCTTTTTTATGCCCAAACATACACACTATACACTGACTAAAATGAAAAAAGTGAAAAAGCATAATATGGACCCCTTTAAAATAACTAATTTATATTTGTATACATTTTAAAATCTAATTTATTCCTGTGATGATAAAGTTGAATTTTCAGCATCATTACTCCAGTTTTCAGTGTCACATGATCCTTCAGAAATCATTCTAATATGCTGATTTGCTTCTCAAGAAACATTTCTGATTATTATCAATGTTGAAATCAGTTGTGCCGCTTAATATTTTTGTTGAAACCATGATATGTTGTTATAAGTTTAAAAGAACAGCATTTATTTAAAATCTTTTGTGATGTTATAAATACCTACTGTCACTTTTGATCAATTTATAACTGAAACTTTACTCTAAAGTATTAAATATTAATTATTTTAAAAGTATTACAGTATTAAACTTACCTTTGCACAATAGTATATAGATCAGATATGTATATGATTTTTATTTATTTAATTTCACTTCATTATGAACTGTCAGGTCAAAAGCATGTGGTTTTTACATCATTTTAACCCAACAAATGTAAATTAAATAAATCCTCAATTGTGTATTAGTTCTTCGTCACAAGTGCCCATATCAACCCAGCACCTTCTAAACAGGAAACATTTCCCAACGGAAACAAAAGTATGCAATTTTGTATGCAGTGTGCATCAAGCGGTCAATGAAGGGGGCCGGTCCAAAGTATTTTTGTACCCCATATTGAGCTGTAAATAATTTGAGTGAGCTAAAATGATCCTCCTCTCATCTCTCTCTCCCAGGGTTCCCGTTTGAGAAGGTGGTCCAGCGCACACTGTACCTGCAAGTGCTAGATTATGACCGTTTTAGCAGGAATGACCCTATAGGAGAGGTGTCCGTCCCCCTGAACAAGATCGATCTGGCCCACATGCAGACCTTCTGGAAGGAGCTGAAACCCTGCAGCGATGGCAGTGTGAGTGGATCTGTGTGTTTCCACTAAATTACAATTTCTGTCATTATGAAAGCTGAAGAGAGGAAGGAGCCAAAGACACCAAAGCAGGAGCAACAGACGCCAATAATAGTCAAAGAAAAGCGTCCAAAGAGATGAAGTGACTGAAAGTGGTTGGCTGGGGACAGGAACAATACAACTTTAATTGTGCAGTGGGTAGAGTACGACGTGCCTCAAGTAATGGTGCTGTCAAATGTTTTAGCCCTTTTACACAAGAAAAAGAGCATAAAGAGTTTTTGAGGTTCTCCAGGTAGGCTTTCTGGCATGAGGCATCCTAAAGATCTCCCATGGGTTCATTGATTTCAGCGTGAAAGTCCATCGCCCGTTCTGTGCTTAGTGTTTGAAGCTGTGGGGTTTGGACTGAAACGTAAGAGTTCATTGAAATGGTCTTGTGGTGTGACAAATGAATTGTTAAAAGTGCAAATATTACATGAAGTCACATTTAACATGAGGTGATTAGAACTGCATATGTGATCATTGTTGAAGGAATGGAAGAATTTTGTAGCAGACAATTTTAGCAAGCAACAAGCAATATATGGTTCAGATATACAGTATTACGATATATAGACAGATATATTAATTGGCTGACCTTTTACATTTTTTATTGTGTGTCGTATTTGCTATCATTAATTGGTTGTATATAAAATATATTTAATAATAATATTTATAATATGTATTTTTATTATATATGCACACACATAATAAATATTACTACTGAATATAATATAATGTACTAATTTTAATGTAAACAAGAAAATATACAAATGGAATAAAAATGAAAAAGAATTATTGAAAAAATTTAATTTTAGCTGTTGTGTGTCTTATTTGCCATCATTAAATTGTATGTGTATATATTATATATTTATTGATATCTATCTATCTATCTATCTATCTATATATATATATATATATATATATATATATATATATAAACATAATACATTTTAAATAAATAATATTGAAAAACACAGTACCAGAATAAATATTAAATACAATACAATTATATTGTAAAATAATTGTAATTATTTTACATAAAATATGTAAAAATAAAATATTTTTAAAAAAATTAATTAAAATGAAATAATAATAGAAATATGTTTCAACTAAATATTAGCATCAAACACTGAAAATCCTATAAAGGTCAACCACTGACTAGTTGAAATTTTTTTTATAATAATATGTGTTTGCTCCATTATTTCTCACAGAAAAAACTGAGGCCTCATATGAAGCAGCTTGCGTGACTGAGGTTTAAACAAATGAACAGGTCCAGTACTGACCTTACTGTGTTCTTATCTTCAGGGGAGTCGAGGAGACCTGCTCGTGACTCTGTGTTACAATCCCACTGCCAACACCATCACTGTGAGCATCATCAAGGCACGCAATCTCAAAGCCATGGACATCGGGGGAACATCCGGTATCAACATACACCCATAAAACCTCACAAATGAATCATTTAACTTCATGTTATAGTTATATTCCTGTAGTAGATCATCTTGTAGAACATCACACCATCATGGGTTCGATTCCCACAAGACACACTGTATACTGTATGTGTTTACCTTGAATGTTCTGTAAGTTATTTCACAAAGCATCTGCTAAGTGAATAAATGCAAATGTGATATAGTTAAATTCCGTGCACTGTGTGATTATGGGATTTCTGTGGAAATGTCCTTGTCAAAGTGCCATCTGCGCAGTAATCATCTCCAATGTAATTTAGAATTCATTGCAGGAATTCTGATTCCCTGGCCCTGAATCACTGTGGACTGTTCCCTGTTTGTGTGCGTTTCAGACCCCTACGTCAAAGTGTGGCTAATGAACAAAGATAAACGAGTGGAAAAGAAGAAGACAGTGGTGATGAAGAGGTGTTTGAACCCCGTGTTTAATGAGTCCTTCCCCTTTGATGTCCCCGCTCACGTCCTCAGAGAGACCACCATCGTCATCACAGTCATGGATAAGGACAGACTGAGCCGCAATGATGTCATAGGCAAGGTGTGATGTCACAAACTAGATAGAATTATTGGAATATTAGAAATCTTTTGTAACAATATAATCTAGCATTTAAATGTTTGGGGTCAGTGTGTGAGTGTGTAAAGAAATAAATACTTTTATCTGGCAAGGATATGTTAAATTGGTAAAGAATCATCAAATTATCCTGAAAAAAAAATGATCACAGGTTCCAAAAAACAGTATGCCTGTTTTTAACATTGATAATAAATCAGCATATTAGAATGATTTCTGAAGGATCATGTGACACTGAAGACTGGAGTAATGATGCTGATACAATAGAAAATGTTAAATTGTTTTAAATTTCACAATATTACTGTATTTTTCATCAGATAAATGCAACCTTCGTGAGCATAAGGCACTTCTATAAATCTTACTGATCCCAAACTTTTGAGATCATGAAGATGAATCAAACTTATTGTTTCAAACTTACCAATAGTATATACATTTACAGTATCCATATCTATATGTTGGTAAATAATGTTGTTTATTAAATATATGTAGTAAATACTGGTAAATTGGTAGCATATATACTAATTCATGGAAATTACTTGAATTTACTAAATCTAATGAAGTTTATCTAAAATACAAAATTGTAACTACATTTGAAAAAAATGGGTGCAAAAACCATTTTCACTAATTATAATAATTTCTAAATTGATTACAAAGAAATTACAAGTAACACTGAATAAAACAATATATATTTTTAGAAAGACTGAAATGTTATTTTCTTGTAAAACATACTCCAGTAATCTTGGTTTTACTTACAACTTCAAAAAATAATTTTTATAGTGTACAAAATGGTTATTAACTATAATGTGTTTTTTTTTTCAAGTTTATAGGTTTGTGGCTTTATTGGTAAATTACCACAATGGAAGCACAATCCTTATTTTTTTCCTTGTTCTTGTTTCTTCCACCTTCTTTCTTTTCATGCCATATTTCTAGATCTATCTCTCATGGAAGAGTGGCCCAGCAGAGGTAAAGCATTGGAAAGACATGATGAGTCATCCGCGCACTGCCGTTGCCCAATGGCACGCTCTCAAAGCTTGAAGGACCCGCCCACCAAAAGTAAACATCACCTTCAAAACCCTGTTGATATGCACAAGTTTAAACACGGGTACCAAAAGCCATCCAACTATCTTTCTTTCTCTTTCTCTCTCACTCTCCCTCTCTCTCTCTTCCTCCCTTCTCAATTTCTTTTTTTCCTGCAGTTTGTTTATGGAGACCCTTCCTTTATTCACTGCTTTTATTTTTTCCCACCAAAAAGAGGCTAAGCACTGCCAAGAAGACTGGGAGAGAAAGCCTTGCGTAACTGAGAGAGGTAAACAGACTCGTCTTCCTTGAGAAAAAAAGTTTGACAACTCGACTGTTCTCTGAACAGCTGGACCGCGGAACAGGGTGACTTCTATCATCGCTGAACTTAAAACGGCTGAAAACAATCTCCTGAACAGACCCTTCTATTGCCATGTTTGTGTCTCACCTCCCTCGCGCCGTCCCTCTGACCGTACGGAAAGATCCGGAAGGATCGCAACCACAGTGCAATACCTAGTTGAAGGAGGATGAACTTGTTGTGTGTTGGACTTCGTCACCTCTTGATGTTTTTCTTGGAACTGTGTAGAAATTCGCTGGAACTCTTCGTCGTCTGTATGTACTGTGGGTGCTGTTATGTGACAGAAAAAAGAGGTCTTGCTTTAAAAAAAAAAAGAACAACACGGAAAAACTTAAAAATTCAAACTCACTTTAATTGACTGGATCAGTTCAAGTGCGTATCTGTATGTACTGTGGGTGCTGTTATGTGACAGAAAAAAGAGGTCTTGCTTTAAAAAAAAAAGAACAACACGGAAAAACTTAAAAATTCAAACTCACTTTAATTGACTGGATCAGTTCAAGTGCGTAGGGGAAGTACGTTTGAGCAATTTTAGAACATTTCAACAAATAGGGACAAAATCTACGCAAGTACATAAATGCAAACATTTCTAGCCACGTTAGCTTTGATGAAACTCCTCTCAGCTAGCACATCTTTTCAAAGTGAATGTAGCCTTGTCACCTGACCTGAATACAGTGCGCTGATTCGCTAAAATGGACTTATCGGCTTCTGTTCAAAAACAACAAGGGCGCTTGTCGGCTTCTGCAGTAAAACGTGAGCTCGTGGTGCCTTGAAAGTGGACAAAACCGGCTTTTTTGACAAAACGCGTTTAGGGTTCAGATCGCGCTATATGTGGAGAATAATGCACGGCAATCAGCTCTTTTTTTTAAAGTGGTGTTTATCGGTTTTTGCAAATTAACTCTTCATATATAGGCCTATATAACTTTTTCCTTCAACTACTTACTAGTTACCAAGTTTAATTTGAAGCGGATATGTATATAGACTAAAAATGACAAAAACACACCAACATTACTAAACTAACTCAAATTAAAATATAAAAATAAAAACTGACTCAAAATAATAATAAAATCTAGATAGTCATGATGAAAGCAATCCGATTAAATGCATTTTCGACTACCTCTGTAAGAAGTTGAAAGCTCAAAATGTTTTATTAAATTATTCGTGTTAAATTAAAATATTTATTAAATCACAAAATGCATGTAATTTTATTATATTTATTTTTATTGTGATAATCAAAACTGAAAGATGATTTCGCCACATTATTCCTTTCTACAAATGTTTGTCTTGAAACTGTTATTTATTATTATTTTTCATATTAATACACATATATACACATATACTTACAGTATACTGAACCCAAAATATCAAATGGTTTTTAATAGGCCTGTCACGGTTACAACTTTTCATTGTGTGATATATTGCCCCAGAAATAATTGCGATAAGCGATATTATTGTCATATTTAAGACCATTTTATGCCACTGAATATATAATCATAATGTAACAGCATAATAATGCAAGAAGGCCTACACACTTCCAAATGACAACAAACTTTTAATTTAAGAATATTTAGATAATGGAAATTAAGTATCAAAATATAAGATACCTTAAAAAACCTGAATAAATAGTAAATAAACATTTTCTAACAAAAAGTGCACAGTAACAAGCACAAAGAACTTGTATGGAGATTTTTCCATCTACAGATTTTTCCCTGACCTTCTTTTCTCTGTAAATGAAGGGTGCACACTATTGCTGAAAAACACAATCACTACTTAGCAGTCAGATGTCCGTATGCACAAAGGCACAGATCCCTAAACAAGACCATATCTGCAGATGAAACTTTTTTTGTAGAAGCACTTTTTAAATTTGAACTAGCACCTCATGACTACATCACTTTATGTTTGAGAAGCTGCAAAAGACACAGGCGCAAGTGCAATGTACAAAACATGGTGACATTAATTTTTAAGTAAATATAATGGCCGATATATTGTGTCACCAAAAATTATTGAGGTCATATTCATATATTGCGCGATAAGTCGATATATTGATTATTGCGACAGGCCTAGTTTTTAATTGGCTGTGGTTGTGTCTCGTCACTTTGCATTTTCTCTGTCAATGAAGATAAGTTGTTCTTCCAATGTTTTGACAGTACTGCTTTTGCAGCCTCTAAATCGCAGGCCTCTAAATCGCAGTGAGTTTTACGATGCACTAATGAAGCGACATGCTTTGTTTTGTCCCATCTAGTTGTGTTTTTGAAAGTGGAAAAGCTCTAAATATTGTAGATCCCATTTACAACAGTGTAGCATCATCCCATTGTAATTAGGTCAACAAAAATGCATCTTAACACCAAGTGTAAACAGGACCTCAGTAACACAGTGCAAAAACACGCAGCATCCGTAGTGTTACGACAAGAGGCACTATGGTCAGTTTCCTGTTTCACATGCGGTTTATTGACGCAAACATCTGATGCTTATTACTGCTACAGAACCCAGCATAAGTATATATATCAGGACGTCGTGCTTGCAATGCTTTTACCAAAGCATTTGTCTACTTGTGTAGAGTACTGTACTGATTCTTCTTTCAAAGCGAAGCATGATAGACAAGATAGGAGTGAGTGTTTGAAGCCTGTGTGTCGGCAGATAGAAGCAGAACCACAGAAATCCTTTTATCTAAACTAGCATTCCTCATGTAACGTACACATCTTGCAGAGGATTGCATCAACCACTTAACCAGTATGCAATGACACTGCCAATGTGAGTTAAACGCTGCCAAAACGCACTTCCTTTCTTTTCATTTTCAAAAGGGCTGATGAAGTTCTTAGTGTCCCTCCAAAATAAGACGTGCAATTTAGAAGTTAACTAAAGAAAAAGAGCAGAAGCAAGAAAATATAACGCAAGTCATGTGATTGTTTGTGCGTCTTTGGCTTAGTGTGTGTGTGTGTGTGTGTGTGTGTTTGTGTGCGTCTGTCGCTGTCTGTATTTGTGTATGTGTTGAGGATTTGGATTACAGCGGTCATTCGATTGATTCCTTATCGTTCTTACACTGCCAATGTGAGTTAAACGCTGCCAAAACGCACTTCCTTTCTTTTCATTTTCAAAAGGGCTGAAGAAGTTCTTAGTGTCCCTCCAAAATAAGACGTGCAATTTAGAAGTTAACTAAAGAAAAAGAGCAGAAGCAAGAAAATATAACGCAAGTCATGTGATTGTTTGTGCGTCTTTGGCTTAGTGTGTGTGTGTGTGTGTGTGTGTTTGTGTGCGTCTGTCGCTGTCTGTATTTGTGTATGTGTTGAGGATTTGGATTACAGCGGTCATTCGATTGATTCCTTATCGTGCTAATGCTGCCTTCAAGTCTTCCTGCGAAATACAACATGATTTTAGTTGAAATAAAAGAGTCATAAAATTAACTTCAGTAAGTGTTTGCGACAAAATAAAATACAAATACCTGGATTTCCACACATCGACATTTTTAAGTGAAATGTGGGGTATTACATTCAATTCCTGAATGAAAACAGCAAGAAAATGGCATTAAAAGCATATAAGCTCACTTGAGGAGGATAGATTTTTTATATGGTAAAATTATGGAAATTACTAACATTTGCTAAATATATTAGATCCACATCAGAAAATTAATCTAGTATTCATTTTAATTAATTTTATATGTAATTTTTTATATATTAACAGTATATATAATTAATTTTTAATATATGTATTACATTAAAGAAAGCAGCTCTATAAAATAATATGAATATTGCAATATTCACAATTGTTGTTTTTATTTATTTATTTTTTATTGCACAAGTTAACTTGGATGAAAATGTGTATTGATGCTTTAGAGTAGGGTTTCACAAAATAGGGTTCGTAAGTTAATTAAAAGCTAATAATTAATTAAATGTAAAATTCAAATATATACATATTTTAAAAATTAAAAAATAAATATATATAGAGAGAGAGAGAGATAGGTATTTGTTTACCTGTCTATCATGTGACCATCCTATATCACAAAACAGGGAACATTTGAATATATTTTTCAATTGCTGATTATTTGAATGTTTTCTCCTAAAATCTCAGGGGTATTTTAAGAACACATTTTAGGTCAAAGATGTTCAGCTGACAAAAATATTTCTAAACGTCCTGCTTTAGAGAATAATGGGAAATGTAATTAAGTTGCACAAACCTGTCAGCTCATAAAACGGTTAAATGAGTATTCATTTGTAATACGCTTTTTGGTTATTTTTCATAAACAGTACACAAAACGCATACAAACCGAATTGTACCATCAACATTCACAATTAGAGCTTATTATGATAGCAATTAGCTTCTGGCAGAATTCTTGAATCAACATGCCCTCAACTCACAAAGTCGGTGCTCAATGAAAATAATTACGCTAGTTGTGACATTGCGATGCTGTTCATAAGGTCTCATCTGGTAAACACGATCATTCCGGCATGACTTGAAGGCAGCATTAGGATGAGTTATAAATGGCAGGTCTGCAGGATATAATAGCAATACTCTCACATTTTGCTTTTCGAATAACATTTTGTATGCTGCGTTTGCTTACAATTTCTGTCACCTCTTAATGTGTTGCTTACGTAACAGAGAAAAGGCAGATATAGAAAGGGAAGAATTCAAATTACCATGTCAACCGTTTAATTAGGAATATTACACTATAATATACTTATTATGACAGACGACAAAACTTCTTACTTGAAAACATAAGGTAATGTACTGTAGATAAGCAATATTTCATGTAAGGGTTAACTTCAGGGTTAGGACATCCGTTCATACAAACACACACGCAGTGCTTCAGGAAGTGAAACATCCATCACCTTTCTCTCCTCCATATGCCAGAGCCCACGTTAGACGGGAATATCACTGCCAGACGTTTCTCGCAGCCTGTCCTCCCCCCGACTAACACGCTGTGACAGACGCGTCCTCAAAGACACAGAGAAAGTGTGGGAGGCAAGAGTTTAAAGGCCAAAAAACAGACCAAAGTGAGAGCAAGACCTAAAAAAAAACTAAGTGCAAACAGAAGATGGATGAAAATTAGTGTGGATTTGTGCATTTGGACTTGTAAGCAGGACAGTCGCATGAATTCATGGTTAAATTTGTGACTCGATAAAGCATCAAACGATGAAAGTTTTCTGTTACTTGTCTGAATTTTTGTCACCTGTTTTGTATTCTTTTATATTGAGTAGCCCCAACCACAGTGCAATCTCATTGGTTCAAATTCAGCCTCATGTAACTTTTTATTTAAAGAATGTTCTGGATCACAAAAAAAGTTCATGTCTGTTTACAGCATTTGTGGCAT